CTAGTTATGGACACACTTAAAAAATGCTTATCTTCGATTCAAATGATGGGCCCTTATTGATTTATTTGCCCTAATTTTCTTTGGTCTGCCAAAAGTTTAAATTATGTTTACTTACCCCCAAAAAGTGACTTTCTATAAGAAAAAGTTAAGGAATGATTCAAACCTGGATGACTATCCTCATCAACATTCCAGGTGTATAGGTAGAGGGAAATACTTCCCTCAGCCAACTAGTCCGGAAGGAAGGGAGGAAATACACGTGGAAGCCCAGCAAACTTTTATACCTCCAATGTCATCTAAATATTCTAAGCGTGGTCCATGTTCACCTGTCAGCACGTTATTGTCCCTAGTGCCATCTGTGGGTTAGCTATTTAATGCTCTGGTGACAGGATGTGTGCTGAGCTCGCCCCTGGTGCTAACACAATGAGATGCACACATGAATGAGCCGGCTGGCTGGGCTGTGGCCTGCACCACCCTTTCTCTTATGACAGAGAAGAGCATGCGGAGAAGAAAGGGCCTGCTGACACCAAGAAAGACCTGAGAGTGGAGCGCATCCAATGGAACAAAGATCCTTGACCTAAAGAAAGAGGCCAAGACACGTGGAAAGCTCCAAGCAATGCCAGGCTCGGGGACATTGCAAGGTGACAAGGACCTTCCCCTTCAGCCAACACAGGCAGAACATGTTCACCTAGAGCTACTGCCCTGAAGTTAGACTTTTAGCCTCCTAGCAGAGAGGAAAACAAGTGTGTTTATTAAAGCCACCCACTTGTGGTATTTCTGCTATAGCCGCATTAGATAGCTAAGACTTTACGTATGCAACTTTATTTGTTTAAAGTTTCTTGACATGTGCCATTTCTTTAATTCTTTTCAGAATCCCAGGATTGTATGAGATGGGCATTATAATCATCTCTATGAATTTAGATGAAGAACTGGAGGCATTGAAGAGATTACGAAATGTTATATGTATTTATGTAATATGTACACATACATATGTAATATTTTAGACATATAGGTAATATATGTTTATATATAGTGTTAGCATTGGAAAAATTACAGATTTTAAATAACTGTATATTTGGTTTCCATGGAAAAATGAGATACACTTACTCAAAAACTGTGGGGG